TTATTTGCTCTGTTTTATTCTGTGAAACCTTACTACGTATATGGAATAACCGTTTTATAAAAGCAATAATCCCCGTGAAGCCGTGGTTTACAGTGAATTTATAACAGCTAAGGGTGTTTTAGTCTAACACCCCCTTAGCTGTTATAAATTCACTGTAAACCACGGCTTCTTGGGGCTTATTGCTTTAATAACACTAGACAAAAAGCATATATATTCTGTGGAGTTTTGTTTTGGACAAAAAATGCAAATATTAAATATGGCCATAACATGAGTCAGCACTGTGACATTTTCTCCCTTAACGTAATTTAGTTGGCCACAAATTTGAACAACGTGGCAGTGTTTTAACTAAAATGAGTAACCAAAATAATAAGTCAGGGGAAACCAATTCTTAATTCATAGTCACAGTATCATGCCTGCATTTCATGTGCAGAGCTCTGAGGAAAATAAAGAAATGTGGACTAAAAATATACAACAAATTAATTCTGTACAGAAAACTTTCAAGAACAATTGTTAGATGGTATGATTAAAATGTCACTCAATATTTGTGTATTCTATGTATTGTTATGCTTATTAGAGCATAGCGTTTGTTAGCTTAGCAACATGCTAATGTTCTACTAAACTCTACAAGTCTCAACTGTGTTTTGTTTCCCGTAAACTTATGAAAGACACAACTTATGAATGATTTAATGCTCTGTGGAACTGTGGAAAAACACAAAACTCAGGAAAGTCACAGCTCACCTTGATCAGATGCAGATGCAGCCTCCTGCTAGCTGCTCTTACCGCGGTAACTTTACCACTGCCATTGGGACCCATCAGAAGAATCGAACAGCCTCTTTTTAACGTTAGAGAGCTGCAGAGAATAATAATAAAAAAATAAAAAATAAATTATATATATATATATATATATATATATTATGTCAATTTAAAAAGTAATAACATTTTAATATATTTAACATGTTATCAATGCAGCGTTCCAGCAATGCTGAAAATACAAGATATAGCATCGACTAGCACTTAAAACATCTTCTAAAGCAGTCGTTCTTAACCAGGGGCAGCAGGATGACTTCAAAGCATTCAAATGAAGAAATCAGTTTTAATATATTACAATAATTTAACTTTAATCTAAATCTAAATGCTATTTAACACATACAATCAAGATGTAAACTAAATTCATACTTTTTTTTCTTCCCCTCAATAACTATTACCTTTATTGAAGAATATAAAGTTGTGGAATCACAAAATGAATTGTGGTTCATTTGTTTAATATACCAACAGGTTCTGTTAATAGGCCTGTCGCAATAATCAATATATCGACTTATCGCGCAATATATGTACATGACCTCAATCATTTTTGGTGACGCAATATATCGCCCATTATATTTACTTAAAAATTAATGCCACCATGTTTATTACATTCCACTTGCGCCTGTGTCTTCTGCAGCTTCTCGTACATAACGTGGTGTAGTCATGAGGTGCTAGTTCAAATAAAAAAAAAGCTTCTATAAAAAAAGTTTCATCTGCAGATATGATCTAGTTTATGGATCTGTGCCTTTGTGCATGTGGACATCTGACTGCTAGGTAGTGATTGTGTTTTTCAGCAATAGTGTGCACCCTTAATTTACAGAGAAAAGAAGGTCAGGGAAAAATCTGTAGATGGAAAAATCTCCATACAAGTTCTTTGTGCATTTTTCTTTTTTTCTACTTAGCACTTTTTGTTAGAAAATGTTTATTCACTATTTATTCAAGTTTTTTAAGGTATCTAATATTTTGATACTTAATTTCCATGATCTAAATATTAAAAATTAAAAGTTTGTTGTCATTTGAACGTGTGTAGGCCTTCTTGCGTTATTATGCTGTTACATTATGATTATATATTCAGTGGCATAAAATGGACTTTAAAATGACAATAATATCGCTTATCGCAATTATTTCTGGGGCAATATATCGCAAAACAAAAAGTTGTTATCGTGACAGGCCTACCCCAACACTGCATGTTTTGCATGTTTCCTTAATCAAACACACCTGATTCAGGTCATCAGCTCATTAGTAGAGACTCCAAGACCTGAAATTGGTGCGTCAGAGAAAGGAGACATGCAAAATGTGCAGTGTTGGGGTGCCTCCAGGACCAGGGTTGGGAACCA